TTTTAAAGAGAACTCGCTCAAGTTTATATGATTTTGTTCTATTTGGTTCAGCTAAAGAATTAAACATATCCTGGAAGGAAGCTGGAAGGTTTTCATAAAAGTATTTATGCATAAAAGATAGAACACCTAGTTTATATGTATCATCAAGATTTAGGAGTTCTAATCTGAAAAATATTGGATCTGAATGTGCCTTAAATGAACTATTATTTACTGCTCTAATTGCCCTTTTTTGCAAAGACTTGATTTTCTGTAGTTTAGCATTTTTTACACCCCCCCATGTTATAATTCCATACTCAATATGTGGCCTTACAAGTGTATTATAAACTAGTAGGCGAATGTTTAACGGTAAAATGTTTTTAATCTGATTCAGAGCAAAAATTGAGCTGGCAATCTTATTCGAAATTTGATAATCCCAATTTAAGAATTCATCAATTTTGAGTCCAACAAATTTAAAGTATTTATTTGTAAAGGTAGTACCTATTCTTTCCAGAATCTAATTTCCAATTTTTAATTTGCAGTTCAGGATCAAAATGCCATATTTGCATTCCTAAATATCATAAACTTTGTCTTGGAGACATTTAATGTTAAACGTTTTGCCTGAAACCATGCAGCTGCCTTTTTTAGTTCAAAGTTTCGATATGTGGAGATGATTTTAGAAAACTAGTGTCGTCGGCAAATAGATTAGTAAAAAAAGACGTTGCTAATGGCAAATCGTTTATGTATATGAGAAATAGTAGTGGCCCAAGAACACTTCCCTGGGGAACACCACATACAACTGTGTTTTCTTTAGAAAAAATACCATTTATACATACATATTGAGTCCTATTGCATAGGTAGTTTTGAAACCAGGTGTTAGCTACATTTTTGAAACCGTAGTATTCAAGTTTTTTAAAAAGAATATTTAAGTCACAACAGTCAAAAGCTTTCTTTAGATCTAAAAATATTCCCAGTGTAAATTCTGGTTGAGGTTTTTTAAGATTTTCATAAATTTTATTCATTAGGTGTAGTAATGGTTGATTAGTATTATGTTTTGGTCTAAATCCATATTGATGTTGATAGAAAATCTCAAACTTGTTAAGATATTTAAACATTTGTGTCGCAGCTATTTTTTCAAGAAGTTTACTTACCGCTGGGAGAATACTAATTGGTCTGTAGTTGTTAAATTTATCTTTTTCGTCAGTTTTAAAAATAGGAATTTTTTTTGCACATTTATAATCACTAGGGATATATCCTGTTTTAAAAGAGGAATGAAAGAAAGAAATACTAAAAACGTCAAAAATCTAATAAGTTGGTTTTATTTAATAATGAATAAAATTATATTTTTGAATCTTTCTTATAATTACTGTGTGTTTACCACAATACCCGCCAAGGACGAGACAATATTTGAGACAGAAACTAAATTCAATCTTTAGATTGTTGTTTGTGTTTAACCCTATAAAGGCTGGGGGGTCTGAATCTATGTAAAGACTGGGGGGCGACCCACGCCCCCCCCCCTTAGAAAAAGGTATTAGCGAATAGGTATAGGGCTTAATTGCATGCTCATAGCCAAATTTTTCAAGGCCAGCTCATTGAAATAAATTATAGATCGATAACTTTTATAGTGCTAGGAATGGTCGAAAGAAATGCAAAAAAAGGTCGAAAAAATGTAAAAAATATTTTTTTGATAAAACAAATATCAAAGTGTGACACATGTTTCTTCACCCATTTTTCAAGGACTTTTCAAAAATATAGTTTTCAGATCTGTAGCTTTATATGTCATAAAAAAGTTATGGGCTATTTCAGATTTCTTTTACATACTCCGGTTTTGTTATCGCCCTGCACCCTACTTTATGAATAAAAAAGTTACAAAAAAATCCTTTAAATTTCTATTTATAAAAACACCGCCAACCCCCACCCCCAGCCTGTTTAGTGTTAAGAGCTCCAGGTCGTCATCGTTGTTTCATCTTTTGTGGGTAACCCTGCATACAATGTCATGTTTATGATAAAGAGTTGAAGATAAGAAACAATACAAATGTTTGAAATAAGATTTTTTACGTTAAATTCATGCCCTTGAAACTTAATATTTTTGACGGAATTTTTTGCTAATAAATTGAAAACTTTTGCGCAAATTTTGCGGAATGAAACTCAAAATTTTCTTTCTTTGCGCATCAGTTTTGCGTGAAAAAAACAACAATTTGCGCAATCATTCGCAAAAGTCAAATCACGCAAAATTGCCCTATTCCGCTTTTGCGAAACTCAAGTTTTGCGCAATTCCGCAACTAGAGTTTTGCGCAATTCCGCAATTTCGAAAAAATCTAACGGTTGCTGACGGTGTGTGTTTCTTAGAATTCAATTCTAGAAAAATCTTGTTTTGGAATCTCTTCCTATTGGTCACTTTTACATAATTGACCAATGACAGTTAAGAAGTCGAGTTCAAATCTCACGGGCGCGCACCTTATTCACTTGAAATTATTTAATAGGATTAAAATATTGCCAAGTTTCACACTCTCTAATTTCTATTTTATTAATTTTGGTCCCTTAATTTAAACTTTTTGTAACTGGAAGTAACCAATTGAGTGTAGTATAATCGTTATCATACTCGTATATGTTAATATTTTTTTATGTATGGAATAAATCTTCAGTTGTTTAATTCTAAGCTTAGAATATCAATTTTTGACCCTTTGCCTGAAAAGTTACATTTTGCGTAAAACTTTCGGTTTTGCGCAAATTGCACAAAAAAAATGCGCAAAACTAAAATTTCGTTTCATGCGCAACTTTCGCAAAAAAAATATTTCCGGTTTTGCGCAAATTGCGCAAAAAAAAATAGCGCAAAACCGCACAAAACTCACTTGTATGACATACAGTGAACACATAGCGAACAGCATACAGGACTTTATCCTACAAGCGTACAGCGAGCTCCTATGAGGAGTACAGCACAAACCTTAAAAGCATAGACACATAACCATACACGTCCGTCTATTCCTATCGTTCTGTGCCTCTGTACTATCTGTAAAGTCTATTTAGATAACCATATACAGTGAGAACCCAGTTGGACGAGCTGCTCAAGAAAAAGATGTATCAAGTACCCAGCTTATGTTGCAGAAGTTGAACTGGATGAAGATGGAGTTGATCCAGCAGACCTAGCTCCTCTTGTCAGTGGGAATGCTCCCATTGTTACTGCCCCAGCCTCAGAGGATGAAGACGTGGCTGGGGACGTTGAAGAGGACAAGGATAAGGATGAGGATACTGATGTCCTGGTGCAAACCATGCAGGAGGTGATGGATAGGTTATCAGAGCTGAACCAGGAGCTCGAGAATATGGTGTCCTCTGCTCTAGAGGACACTGGCACCCAAGAGCCCCTTGTAGATCCCAATGTCAATGTATGGGATGCAAGGAAGGCCTGGGAACAGGAGTTCAGCCTTTATCCTGTAGCAAGCAGGGAAGAGGTTTACTCCAGGATATATATCCAGGTTGGGAAACTGCTCCACCATATGCAGGAGCGGGTTGACCAGCAAACCTGGAATAGAGATGATAAATGACAGATAGCTTGACTAATATAATAGCCATGCACTTCAGATTAGGTAGACTAACTGAGAGAGCACTCAGAGATCAAGCTAATGAACCTAATATGTAAAAGGATCATGGCTAATCGTTAAACCATCTATGTATCTTCATATTGTGATTATTTATGAATTTATGAATGTATGTGAAATAAATGTAATAAATCGAATTAGAATATGTTTATTAATATGGGTGTTAAATATTGCATAGATAAGTTATTGTATAAAGGTTTGATCGGAGTGAGGAGATAACCCGATGTATAATGTTATCAGGTTGCAAAGATAAGTAATTGTATAAAGGTTTGATCCGAGTGATGGTGATAACCCGATGTATAATGTTATCAGGTTACAAAGATAAGTAATCGTATAAAGGTTTGATCCAAGTGATGGAGATAACCCAATGTATGATGTTATCTATTAGCAAAGATAATTGATCACATAAAGGTTAGATAACTTGAGGTGTGATCTTATCATAGTTTGCTAATTTTAGTTTGTCAATTTATTGCATCATACATTTTTGGTTGTAGGAAATTACCACATCGGTTTCCTTAAATTTTAGATCCGTTTCCTCATATTTTTTATTTGTTTCCGCTTTTTTCAAAAACTTTAAAAATCTTGTTTTGTTGATTGGTTTCCTCATATTTTTGATCCGTTTTCGCTTTTTTCAAAAACTTTAAAAATCACAATTTGTTGAACGGTTCCCTCAAATTTTAGGTTTGTTTCGTCATATTTTTGATCCATTTCCGCTTTTCTCAAAAACTTAAAAAATCTCGTTTTGTTGATCGGTTTCCTCAAATTTTAGGTCCGTTTCCTCATATTTTTGATCCGTTTCCGCTTTTTTCTAAAACTTTAAAATTGATCTGTTTCCTCATATTTTTGATTGGTTTCCTCAAATTTCTGATCTGTTTCCTCAAATTTTTGATCCATTTCCACTTTTTTCAAAAACTTTAAAAATCTCGTTTTGTTGATCAGTTTCCTCATATTTTTGATCCGTTTCCGCTTTTTTCTAAAACTTTAAAATTAATCTGTTTCCTCATATTTTTGATCGGTTTCCTCAAATTTCTGATCTGTTTCCTCATATTTTTGATCCATTTACACTTTTTTCAAAAACTTTAAAAATCTCATTTTGTTGATCGGTTTCCTCAAATTTTTGATCCGTTTCCGCTTTTTTCAAAAACTTTAAAAATCACAATTTGTTGAACGGTTTCCTCAAATTTTAGGTCCGTTTCCTCATATTTTTGATCCGTTTCTGCTTTTCTCAAAAACTTTAAAAATCTCAATTTGTTGATTGGTTTCCCCCAATTTTAGGTCCTTTTTCTCATATTTTTGATCAGTTTCCGATTTTTTCAAAAACTTTAAAAATCACATTTTGTTGATCGGTTTCCTCAAATAGGTCCGTTTCCTCATATTTTTGATCCGTTTCCTGTTTTTTCAAATACTTAAAAAATCTCAATTTGTTGATCGGTTTCCTGAAATTTTAGGTCGGTTTCCTCATACTTTGTACCCGTTTCCGCTTTTTTCAAAAACTTTAAAAATCCTAATTTGTTGATCAGTTTCCTAAAATTTTAGGTCCATTTCCTCATATTTTTGATCCGTTTCCGCTTTTTTTAAAAAGTTTAAAAATCTCAATTTTTGATCTGATTTCTCAAATTTATGGTCCATTTCCTCATATTTTTGATCCATTTCCGCTTATTACAAAAATCTTATATTGTTGATCAGTTTCTACTTTTTTCATAACCATTAAAATCTACTATTACTCTTTAGAACTGATGTCACACATTTCCCACTCTACCCCACAACAAAGAATTTTGATTATAATTGTTAGTGGCTAAAGTTAGATAAAAATAATGAATAATGACGAAATTACATGTTTTAGAATAAAAATGATTTGAATTAATCATGTTGATTAAACTAATTGTGTTTGCTGTGTTTATGTTTGGCGAGGTGTGTTTAGAAGAAAACACACTTTCAGATGCTTACAATCAGGTTAGATTTTTATTCATTTGTATATACAGTGGGAATCATTAAACTATGGAATAGAAAGACGATATTAAAGCATTCTTATGCAAACTGTTTTACCAGCTAGCTTAAAAACTATTTTATTCATTAGACAATTTAAATAATAACAGATAGTCTCCTTATTCCACAGATTTTTTGGGTCCTGCTGTAAATATATATATACCAAAAATGTTGATGCAATGCAATGCAATATTGGCATATATCTGCTTTAGGTTCTGCTTATTAAAATTACATTGGGAAAATATTGAAATAAATTTGGCTGGTTTTTAGTCTGTTTTTAGTCTGTTTTTAGTTTTCAGACATAGGGATTACAATTTGGCGTGGCTGCTATTCCTCCCTTCAGCTGATTAGTATTAAACCAGCATTTTGTTCATCAAAATAGTGCAAAACTATGTAGAAATTATACTTAGAAGTGCTTCAGACACTTACATATTTTTATTAAAAATAAAGATTCTGTTTGGTTTGGCAAATCATCTTTTTTATGCAAAATCTTTCTTACTTTCTGAAAGGTTTTACATCGGTATGTTATGTACATCGGTATATTATGTTATCTACTCGATATAAAGCAATAATTATCAATAATTATTTGGACTTAAACTTTGTACTAAGTGAATTTAGAAAAAAAATGTCGATGTAAGATAGTTTTGTATCAATTTATGCAATCACCAACAACAATAAGTTTTAACAAAACTTAAACTTTTTTAGGTTTATGGGACGTTTTCAAAAAAAGCAAAAAAATATTTCTTATACACCCCTAGGCTTAGTACGTTAATTTAATTCACCAAAACCATACTGCAACTGCAGTTCTTCAATTATCATACAGGTAAATTTTACAATTACAAGGAAAAATTGTAGATTTAAAAGCATTTAAGTGCTTAAAAGGCTGAGAAGAGCCATTTAAGTCTAACGCCAAAAGGAGAAAGAGAATTAATTTGAGTCATAAATGGAACTAGTCTTATTGTAAACAAACACCATTTTCTAAACAGTCCTTAAACTGAAACTATTACCAAGCAAAAAAAAATGGGGGGGGGGGGGTATTCAATTATCAAAATCAATGCAGAGACTTTTTTTTAGGACATTTACTATACTAACGTTTTTTTGATAAGGCATTATCTTTGTTTTCAATTAAAACTTGCCCAGGCAATTGAAGACGACCTGGTGCCTGCTGCAGAACTTAAAGAGGTTGGAGAACAGTTTATTCATTTAAGGAAATTCATCAAAAAAACTAAATTTATGATAACATCAAAAGATATTTAATTTATATTGATACCCTTTAAACCTTGGTCCGATAATGAGATATCCTTATATTATAAGCTGAAAATTGGTTATTTTCAACCATATGTTCTTTTAAAAAGTGACTTCTGAACTCATGAATTGCTGCAGTGAAGGAAGTTATTATGAAATGAAACACTTCTCCATTTAATTTTTGAGTTCTTTGATGCATCTTCAGTATGATTCTAGTTGACTTGGAATTCAGCAAATCCACCAAATCAAATGAACCAATGAAATCCACCAAATCAAATGAAACAATGAAATCCACCAAATCAAATGAACCAATGAAATCAACCAAAATGGTGGATGCTTTGAGAATATTTGCAGAGTCGTTATTTAACAACTCAACAGGCAAGTATTTTTTATTTTTAAGGGGTCCGTATTTTAAGTCTGGTTAATCTCAAGAACCGGGCTGACATCTGGCCATCTATAGAGCGAGCTGAACAGTACACATACAGAGTACACAGGCAAAATGGGACGGTTCACCAAATGAACCAGATCCTTCTAGGTAAATTCTAGAGCCATATATTTCCATTTCTGATCCCAATTGGAATGGATGGGATTGAAAGTAAATTTAGGAGAATATTGACTTTTTGTGTCATTGTGAACTTTGGCGAGTGAACTTCAGAAATGTGTACTGCATCTGGGGGTGTTAAAAGATGTAAATATCAGTAATCAATATTAGATCTAAATTATGGTATACAGAAAAAAAACACAATTGCCGTAAACATTCTGCAGTATTGAACAGAATAGAGATTAGAAAAGTAGGTAAATAAGATTAAGACTATACTAAGATTATACCCTATACCATGAATTTGTTCAGTTCCTGTGTGCCTGAAAATAAGTTAAAATTGTACAATACATGTAAATGTACACAAATTACACCCAGAATGTATAGTAAAGCTTATGCTGAAATGAACTCGGGGATGAACGAAAGGTTTGATTTAAAGAAAATTTAATTATTGTCGAGCACATTTTTCTTCAATAAAAAGATGTTCGAGGGCCCAAAAGGTTATAGAGCACAAATGTGTGAAGTACACTGCATGCTGTATGGAAACAGTACAACGAAATGGCGGTTTTACGTTTTTTTCTAGTTAATACCACTCTATACTTATCTATTCTCTTTGCCTATCAATCATATCAATCAATTAACATTTTGTATTTTGTTTTGATTAAATTATATGGATCCTTATATTAAATAAAAGTGTTCAGTCAATGCTAATGCTTAGAGTTATTTTTAGTTCTTCGATTCGATTCAATCATCTTTTTATGAGATTCTATCATCTTTTTATGAGATTCTATCATCTTTTTATGAGATTCTATCAACATTTTATGAGATCCTATAAAATAAATATTTCCTAACAAAACAAAGTAAAAATAACTAACTGACGCCGAAAGAATAGACTATGGGTGTAAAGCGCTGTTACAATGGTGAATTATAACAGATTTATTGAACAGTCTTTGTTGATATAATATCTTCATTTTAAGGATCAGCGCTACATTTGATCTTCCTAACAGACTTGAAATCCAAGGACACTATTCGAAGGATTCTTGTGGATCGAATTGGGAGAGTTTTAACCCAGAAAATTAAACTGAAAAAATCAAATATCTTGATAAAGGATCGATGGAGATTTCCCAGGTATACTATAGGTCTGAATTAATATACAGTTGGAGATTTCCCAGGTATACTATAGGTCTGTTTTAATATACAGCTGATCATTAACTTTCAGCTTTGAGCATATAGATAATTTTTGAGATTCTAAAATCTGAGTTCTTCCATGCATATTATTTGATTTTTGGTTTGCATGTATTAAGCATATTGACCTAAACAAGAAAACCAATTTTTTTTTCATTTCCTGTTTTTGTCTTATGCATCTAATGTTTCAGTAAAAATGTTATCTAAAAGTGAAATCCTAAAATAATATAATTTGCAAAATTTCAAATATGTATTGCAATATCAAGTTATTAACTGAAAACTGAAAATGTGTTCATTCTCTTTAAAGGCATCTGTGCAAAAATCTATGCACAATTTATCGCAAAAATTGTGCGATCTGCTTCCTTTTGTTCAAGTCTTTCCAAAGAGATATAAAAAATCCGAAATTTGAAAACCAGGAGAAGATCTAAATAAAATTTAGTCAGGTAAAGGTAAAATAAGGCATTCAGGCAATATGTCTGAAGACTCAGGCAGTAGGTATAAAAGCCTTGCTTTTAGCCTTAAGTTAGGGGCATTTATTAGTTAGAAAAGTCAAAAAATTTGAACAGTCTGAGACCTGAGTTATCTCTAATATACGTCAGGGGGGNACAAAATTGTTTCTTTAAATAAAAAAGATCAAAGATTTTTGAGATAAGACAAAATTGTTTCTTTAAATAAAAAAGATCAAAGATTTTTGAGATAAGACAAAATTGTTTCTTTAAATAAAAAAGATCAAAGATTTTTGAGATAAGACAAAATTGTTTCTTTAAATAAAAAAGATCAAAGATTTTTGAGATAAGACAAAATTGTTTCTTTAAATAAAAAAATCAAAGATTTTTGAGATAAGACAAAATTGTTTCTTTAAATAAAAAAATCAAAGATTATTGAGATAAGACAAAATTGTTGTTGTGATTTGGATTGTGCGTTTAGTAATATTATTTTGATTCAGAAAATTATCAGAATAATGTTAATAACTGAAATCCTTACTTTAAAGTAAAATTAAAATAAGTTTGATTTGTTCAAGAAGATGAATTAAAAAAAACATTTTGCCCTAACGAGGAGTATACAATAACAAAGGTAAAGATTGGATAAAAATTAAAAATAAATTCTTATCACTTTATCATTGCAACCTGGCGAAAACTTTTGGTATTTTAAACTTAGATTATGTGTTTGAGATATTAGAGGCCAAAGACATGGGATAAAGGGATTACAAAATCTGAGTTTGTGGCAATAACTAAGTTTTTTTAACCTATCACGATGGGGAGGGGGGGAGTTCCACCCCTTAATTTTTTTTTCTTTTTAACTTACTAAAGGCTTACACTGTGACTCTCAAACTTTTTCACTGAATCGACTAGACAGTTGTGAATAGGTCTCATTTTTTTATGAGCTTTTTAAAGTTGGACTACGGACATGTATCACACTCCCTTATCTTAACTCTAAGGGCAAAAGCCAATATAAGGCAAAAATAGCCCTATCGGGATAGGTTTAAAAAATGCTGTCTGAAAATAAAATTGAGGTTTAGAATTAATGATTACGGATATCAAATTAATGATTACGGATATCAAATTAATGATTACGGATATCAAATTAATGATTACGGATATCAAATCGAATATATTGATTTTATTGAATGTTCTTTTAAACTAAAGTGATAAATATTTATAATTTAAGAAGCGACCGTTGGAGGGGGATCTTGTTATAAAAATGGACAGTGAGGACTGCAAGACAAAGTATGGAAAGGTTGGTTTAAAGAAAGTTAAAAATTTGTAACAGTCCCTTTAATCCTAAAAAAGAGGGGCTGCTAAAGGTAAAATTAAAATTAAATTTTTTTTTTGAAAAATATGAAAACTTGAAACAAGAAAATATATTTTATGTATACTGAAAAATTGTAATTATCTTGTTTTGAATGTTTAAAATTTTGATTGATTGGCCTTCCAACAAAGGAGGGAACTCCTGGACGCCATGAGCCTCTGCCATGGAGACATGAGCCTCACAGATTTGCTAGGCATACCGAGCCTCCAACAGGAAGTGAGAGCCTCCGCTAAACAGAAAAATTTCCTTGAAACTCCTGTTTGTTTAAATGCAGTAAAGAATTCTTTGTTTTTTTCCGACCTAGTGGCAAAATAAGTTTTTCAGAAGTATTAATCAATTATTATAAGTACTGTATAAAAGTTACTTTTGATAACAATTACAGATACTTTGCTATATCGATTGGACTAATATGAAATTGAAGTTAGCTGGTTACAAGCGGGCTTTAAGAGCATTTAAACAAATATAAACTTAATAATGTTAATATGAAATTATTAAAAAACATATTTGAAGACTATAGTCATTTTGAACGTTACAGTCTTAATAAACCATTATACAAAACCTTAAGTTCGTTCAATCGATGTTCAATTGATGTTTAGTTTAATTGATATGACACCAAAAATGCACAAAAATTAAAAAAACGGTTTTTCAAAAGTTAAGGAACACATCTTAACATGATACGCTGATTGGTTGAATCTTAAACTTCTTTCTTGGATATCGAATTCGTAATTCATAATCTCGGGTTTAATAAAACCAGGATCTCAAGCATTGATCTCAATATCCATTAATATTTTAAAATTAAAAAATTAATAATAATTGATGTTTAGGATCTGTTTTTCCTTGCACCCTTCTACCATAGAGAATATCCTCCAGGCCTTCAACGTCTAATAGTTCTAGATATAGATCTACTGTTTATGTGAGTAAGTATACCAAATTTAAAAAGAAACTAAGTGTTTTAAACCCATATATATTTACTGAGATTTTCTGGGCGTTAAAGTGTTTCACCTCAAAACCCCGACTCTGACACGTATATGAACTCATTCGGTCGTACTGTCCAGTCTAGCGACTTATGAAATAGAGTTGAGCCAGCATGTTTTATGCAACAAATGCATCCTGTCAAGATCACCATGATCAACATATAAATGTTTGCAGACCTAGACATTTACATTTTAAAATTACAACGCACTTGTTTCTAGCTTAAGTTTGAAAAATGCTGCTAGATTTTTTTGCATCTTGGTTCGCAGTGTATTTGTTTTATTACCGTTAATATTTCAATCTTTAAATTCTGTTTGATCAAATTTAGTCTTTGTTTGAATTATCAAAGGATTACACAGTCAGGTTGCAAGAATATTTGGATTAGAAAATAAGAGTTTGTGGCAATCGAACTCAATTTTCTTTTCAAATAATATTACTTATAAATTGTTCAGGATCGATCTAGCAGAATTAAATCATCAGTTTAATCTAATGGCGGAGAAGTAAGTTTAAAATTTCTTAGTGCCATAAACAAATCACAACTATAAAGGGCATAAAATAATAAAATAAATTTACCATGTTGTTGTTTAAACAATAATACAGAATGCAATATGTACAAATAAGGCTGGGCGTCGTTCCAGGGGAACAATCGTTCTTTTACGAAAACGAACGGAATTATCAAGAACGATCCCATCGTTCAGAAAAAAAAGAATAAACATATAGAACGCATTCTTAAAAATATTTAAACGATTATTAAAAAAATGAATGTGAAACCAACGAAAACTGATTTGAAAGACCGTTAAAATCAGGAACGCGTTCTCAGGAACATGTTCTTAAAATAAATAGTAGAAAAAATGAAAAATGAATGAAAGCCTTTAGATATTTATAAATGGAATATAAAGAATGTAAATTTAAGTCGTATTTTAAATCAGAAAAATACATGGGCGTACAAGGGGGCCTAGGTGCACGGCTCCCCAACGCGCCCCCCCCCCCCTTGGAGGGGGCCAGGCAGGGTGAGGGGGCTCATTTAATATTACATCTGGAGATTTGTTGAATAAAAACCTCTGATTCTTGATTTTGGAGGCAGTAAAAATAAAGCTTTTCATTATCTTTTTAAAATTTTTTTTTTTCAAAACAGTTTAATTAATATAGAATCAATTGAAAGATTTAAAGTGACTGAAGACATCATTTCAAAGGTTTGTCTGATCAAGTATTGCATTAAATATCCATATTTCCCATTTTGAAAACTGATTATTTTCATTAGTGGTTTCTCTACAAAAGTGACTCATGCATGCATTGTGAAATGAAGGTTTCAAAGGTACATCGGACATGCCACTCTATAAAGAAAGGGTCACTTAAAATTATGCATGTATTCCATTTAAGTAATATTACATTAAAAAAATACTTTAAAATCTCAGTTTTTCACTTAAAGCTTAAATCAATACTGCCTTCAGTGTAAATATAGATTTTTAATCATTATTTATGTAATAAATCCTATGAAAATAAAGATATGTTAAAACGATGGCATCTCTATTTTTCGCCACTTGAAGCTAACACTACAGTATTAAGAGGGACAATTATATAAATAATTTATTAATACTTGGTATGGCACCGTTCTCGGCTATAAGAACACAAAGAACGGAACCGAACAGGATGGACCGTTCTTTGACTAAGAACACCAAGAACAAACAGAATGGAATGATTGTAAAAAGAACGAACGAGAACGGAACGATCTTGCTGGAGGTTTTCGTTCTAGAACGGAACAGAACGGAACGATCTTGCTGAAGGCCCTCGTTCTAGAACAGAACAGAACGGAACGATCTAGCTGAAGGACCTTGTTCTAGAACGGAAAAGAACGATTTCAAAATGTTTGAAGTTGCCTTGCCCTAACTGCAAGGAAGTGTTTATATTTCAGTATATTTACATGTAAAAACTATGTTAGTTAGTAGATGTGTGTCTTTCTATGAGACTATTGAAGCAAGTTCTAAGCTTTTCATTAGATTTCTTTCGAATTGATGCAAAAATCACCTTAACACAGTTAATGGCAGAAATATATTTTCTGTTGCAACTGATTGTTCTGTAAATTCTTCGGATCTTAGTAAAATGTTAGTTAAGTAACAAATGAAATATTTTGATGTCCCATTAGACCATGCATGGAAAGTTCCGGTTTTACAAGAACTTTTAAATACAAGAATGAATAATTTATATGTTGAAGGATTCGTTTAAACTACACCATTTATATATGTATTTTCATATTGGTGCGTGAATAAATCTTTATAATAATAATAATTATAATTTATCTCTTATATTGATAACTGATATTTACTTCTTGTAAAACCCAAAATACAATAAACATTTTTGAAGAATTGACATCACAGAACAAAATCTTCGACTAAAATTACTAATCTTATGACTTTTTTTAAAAAGATGAAGTTTTTTAAATATATGTTTGATGCTTTTTAATCCAATTTGAGAAAGCAGATACAAATTTGATATTTGTTTAAGGGAGGTATTTGGTATAGCAGCAGAATTCAAGATTTGGTTTTATAAGTTTCTAACAACAGAATTCAGGGATAGTCACCCAGAGACAATCATAGCTAGTCCTGGTAGAAAACAGGTTAAATGTCTTGTCATGCTGAATTTTGCTTAACAACATAGTGTCTAGAATAAAAACTTAAATTATTGATAGAAATATTTTATAAAAATAGGCCTTAACGTAAAGTTATAGAATTTCATTACATGTTCATAGACCAGCTTATTTTTAAAAAATCAGACTGCTAAAAATGACAAAAAAAAATTGTAAAAAAATGTCAAAAAATGACACATATTACGATGAAATGTTTTTGTATCCAATTTTCAAGGACTTTTAAAAATGTAAATTTTAGATCTGTAATTTAGTAAAACTTCTGGGTCTCACTATATTATCTGTATAGGGTTTGAAAACTGGTGTTATACTACTAGATTTAAAGAAGCTGCGTGACCCAGCTAGCAGTATCTTGCGGTCAGCCCTGCTACCTTCAATATCTAAACAGATTGCTGATACGTTCAGCTTCAAAGGAAAATGCGGGGATCAAGTGAGAATTTAAGAAAATTATTAATAGTTTTTTAAGGGAAAATGGGTGGTGGGGCTCTGAGGATCATTGCATTCTGTAGACTAATTCATTCTGTAATATCTGTATTCTCTAGTCAAATGTATTTTGTAAACCACTGTATTGGGTAGTCCTCTGTATTTTGTAAACCACTGTGTTGTGTAAACCAATGTATTGTGTAGGTAAACCTCTTCATTTTGTAGACCACTGTAAAGAATCTGTATTTTAGTGTCAGTTGAATGTATTGAGCTGGAAATATCCTGAATATTTTTATCAACTCCCGTGTCAGTTTAATGTACAACATGATCAGTTCTCATCAGAGGTAATTTTAGCTCTTAGATTCATTCTCAAGTTCAGAAATCTCACGGCCGCAGTGCTTTGACTAAAGTGTCTTAAAATGATTATTTAGGAGATCAAACTGTTTGAAGAGGAAGAGTTTGATGAAGATCTTGAGAAGGATATTATTGATCAAGTGCTGGGAAAGAATCCAGAAGACAAGAGATATCAATATTGTAAACAACCAACGAAAATTTGCCATAGAAATTATTGAATAATTTGTATATCTATTTTTTAACAAGTTTTCTAATTTTATCTAATTTTAATGCTGATTTTTTTTATGTTACAACACAGAATAAGGTTGGATAGGAAGATACCTGTGAGACGTATTTCATAATAATTTTTTTCTTGAGTTTTGGAGGATGGAAAACATAATTTTGATTGAAAATTTTTTTAGATCATGATCTAGCTTATATTTTCCGGATATCTCCAAAGCGTTTTGATCATTAGAAGTTGGGGAAAATATGAGCTATGAACAGAATTTGACTGCGCGCCTACCAAATAATGATTTGACTTTGACTTTATCAAATAAAAAACAAACGCTGAAGAAATATTTAGAAAATACATAACAGAGAAACTTGTAATTTTGCAGTAATTTGTGTATACAAAAGATAGAAAATTAGAATATACAGTGTGTCCTATATCATTTTGGACTGTATATAGCTCCAAATTGCAATTTCAATGGGCTGATCAAAAAATTTATAAAAAAAAATATTTTAAAAGATTGTATAAGCATAATATAAAAATTTGCATATATCAGTCTTTTTGAGTATTATGTGCATAGTTTGGCGTTAAAGCTGATAAATCTAATATGATATAAAATGCTCTGTATATTGTCTTCAGGAAGCAAAACAAAAAACTAAATTGTAATACCACATGTACAGGCCGGCGTTTAACTCTCTAAAATAATGGCAAGATTTGTGAAACAAACAAGGTGAAACGTCCAACTATCCGCATTTCTATATCCTATGAATTTGCTCAGTTTACTTACTTGTATTCTTGGAAAGTAGTTGGTGTAGCCCCCGCTAGGGGCATTTAACAACATCTTTTCCACACAGTCTTCTTCTGGGAATCTTGTCAATCTCTCAGGATCAGTTCATCTCAGAAGAAGATAGATATTGATCTAGATTTCTTTTAAATATCTTGATATTTTGAGACTCTCTACTTGTGGTGGGTAACTGGTTCCAATCATGAATGACTCTTCGGGTAAAGAAATTACTTCTGATGGTGGTGTTGGTTCTCTGTTTAGTCAGTCTGGTTCTATCATCTGATTGTCTGGTGGTTCTCACAGATACTTGATTAACTCTTTTAAACCAGAGTTCATCTCCTTCAACCTCTAGTTCTTCTTGTTTCAAGGGAGAGAAGTTTTTCAGTATATCCAGCTGATCTCAATCCACTTATCATATTCACAGCTTGTATTTGGACATTTTCCAATACCACAGTTTGAAAATAAAATTTTAAATTTTATATTCTCATTTTGGATTTATAAATCTAACTACCGCCAATACCTCAGTTTGAAAATAAAAGTTTAAATTTTATATTCTCATTTTGGATTTTCAAATCTCACTACCGCCAATACCACAGTTTGAAAATAAAAGTTTAAATTTTATATTCTTATTTTGGAATTTCAAATCTCACTACCGTCAATACCACAGTTTGAAAATAAAAGTTTAAATTTTATATTCTCATTTTGAAATTTCAAATCTCACTACCGCCAAAACTTCTAGTTTAAAAGTCATTTAATAATCTGAAAAGTCTCAAAAAAAATGTACAAAAACTAGCTCTCAAAGCCTTCAATACCATTTTCTTTTAATTTGTACATAAAATTTTCGCTCAAAAAGAAGGCATTTTATACAAACACAACATCCCTAGGCCAAATAATGTGTAAAATTATACTATATACATTATACATGCATGTACTGTACAGTGTACACCAATATATTTATTTACAATTCTCATTCGCTTATAATGGGCCAACCAATCAAAACAACCTACTCTAGTTAGGCGAGTCAAAACTACATAGTAAATTGTGATTTTTTTCCTGTAATATCTCGTGCTTTGTAGTTGAATAAAAAATGAATTGAAATATGAACATTTGCTATGTAGTGGAATTAACGGAAACAACTGAGAAGGTATTGCAGTAGGTCTAACTTTCTTTTATCCATCTTTCTTTACATCAATATTTCTTTTATATTTCATTGATTGTTATTTTTCATTATTTTTATCTATGTATTGATTTCTTTAGAATGACCGGTTTCAAACTACTCTCACTATATAAACTGTGTTTCTTTAATTCTTTATTCATTTGGTGTTACTTGTTTGAAGAGAGTTTGGATGTTTAACTGAAATAGATTGAAGTATTATAGCAACAATATAACATTGATAAGAACAATTTTTATAATGATTTCATATAATTACTTACACGAATGTCATCTATTAAGAAAGAAATCAAAGTAAGTTTAAATTAGCGTCCATGGTTGGTTTAGGCCTTACTGAAGCTATACTCAGGATCCAGGCATACATATGTGCGTGCGCGTAGCAATTTGAAATGTACATATTCTATATAGTAAAATGGGAATAGATCAAATGCCTAATTTCAAAACAATCTATCTTTCTTTTATATTTCATTAATTGTTATTTTTCATTATTTTTATCTATCTTTCTTTTATATTTCAATAATTGTTATTTTTCATTAATTTTATCTATCTTTCTTTTATATTTCATTAATTGTTATTTTTCATTATTTTTATCTATCTTTCTTTTATATTTCAATAATTGTTATTTTTCATTATTTTTATCTATCTTTCTTTTATATTTCATTAATTGTTATTTTTCATTATTTTTATCTATCTTTCTTTCATATTTCATTAATTGTTATTTTTCATTATTTTTATCTTTCTTTCTTTTATATTTTGTTCTTGTTATTATTATTTTTATTGATTTTTATTTTATCTTCCTCTTTATATAGTTTTCTCTTCTTCAGTCTTTCTACCTTTCTTTTTTATCTATTTGCCCAGTGAGGGAGGGGGTGCAGAGGCGCCATGATCCCCGCAAAAATGACCTCCAGGCCTCAGGATTTGCAGAATTACCTCCAGGCCCCGCAAAACTGGTCTCCCAGCCTCAGTGACGTCACCATGCCTACCGCCATTCTGTCTCCACACCCCGCGTTTTGGTCACCGCTTGTTGTTTTATTTTTTGTTTAAATTTATTGGCTTAACCAAACGAATATCAAAATATATCTCTACATAGTAGACTCCATCATAGTTTAAAGAATCGTCTAATCAACAAATTTGACATGTTAATTCATTCAATAGTTCTGGAGTTGTTTTTCTGTAAAAGTTTACATTAAGATGGAATGAGTAAAAGACAACCTTTATAGACGACTTATCTATTATTTTTGAAGGCATCATGATTTGAAGATTTTCTTAACTCTCGATTCCTTAGCATTACATTTTATCATTAAAATGCAAATTAATGAGGATCTGTTCTATAATATACGAGTTTTTTCTCCCCCCCCCCCCCCCCTCTCCATCTCTGTATATCAATTGTTTTCAGTCAAATTAATGAATTCTCTCACTAACAGAAAAACTATTTAGAATTAAATTTAACTTATTAAAACAACAAGATATAACACGAAGCTGCCCTAACCTGTTAGTATAGCATGTAATAGATATTCAGATCATTTTAATTCTTTGTTTCAATTTTTAAAAAAAATAGTTCTTCAATATTTTCTAAAGCATACGATAAAATCACAAATACAAGGATTTCACAAAAACTACCTTGTTTTGTAAATTGCTGCTGATATTGTTTGATTGGTATATGAGACCCCTCTAAAATAATAGAACATTTTTCTATCTTTATACAAAACTGCAATAGTTCTTCACAATTTAAGGAATTTGTGAAATTTAGAAAAACAAAATACAAGCCTTTAATCTCAATTAAAATTCACTTTTTAATACAAAATGTTAATGTATCTACTAAATTTAGACTCTCAAAACCAGCCAGAGAACATTACCATGGTTCTCCCGTTTACCCAATCAATCCAAAGGTTCATGAATTATGATCGGAATTGCTAACAATAACAAACAAACAGAGACTACTACTTAAAATAAATGGATATCTATATATATAAAGTTGTAATCTCTGTTTGTCTGTCTGCCTGTTTCTTTGTTTGTCCTAATGTTAAAATGCTGGGAAAGTTATTTTAGAGGTGTAAGTAACTTTTGTACTGTAATGTACTGTCTCTGGGTGGTAATGTAAACACAAGACGGATGTCACAGCCTGACTTGGGATCCATCTTTCACATAAAAATCAATGAAATATTCTGAATATAGGAAACTCTTCTGTAAATTATCAAAATTATCAAAATGTAATGCTTTTAAGTTTTTAACCTCCTCGGATACCAAACTAACACTGATGCATCTATTCTTGTCTACAAACACCGCCCAGAGAGAACTTGTTTCAATATGTACGCAGAGTATACACAACTGCAATTATCTTTCCTTGCATTATTACATTGGTTTGTCAGATCATAACTCAGAAACCCCCGGACAAATTTGCGACAAATTTTGATTGGGGAACTCGAGAGGCTTTCATGAATGTTCTTTGCTTTGTTATAAGATTCTAAGTTGAGTGGGTCGACTTTAATAAGGAAAATGTAGTAACTGGTAAAATCGTTCAAGTGCGGGTAAACGGCAGGAGTAACTTTTAGTAACCTTGACAACGCTGGGTTCCCACGGTAAGATATAGATAAAGCAGAGCACCGTAATTTTATGTATGAATATATATCATCTATATATATAGTCTAAAACTGTAACATCAATAGAGATGTAATTAATGACCTACTCCAATATTTCTCTATAAGTGTATATTCATCCACACACAAGTTATCGGACTCCTCTCTACCGAACCCTGGTAGGTCTAAATGTGCATTTATCGACACACAAAGCTATCAAACTCTATCCTCTCTACCGAACCCTGGCAGGTCTAAGTGTATATTTATCGACACACAAAACTATAAAACTCAATCCTCTCTACCGAACACTGGTAGGTCTAAGTGTGAATCTATTCACACACAAAGCTATCAAACTCTATCCTCTCTACCGAACCCTGGCAGGTCTAAGTGTATATTTATCGACACACAAAACTATAAAACTCTATCCTCTCTACCGAACACTGGTAGGTCTAAGTGTGAATCTATTCACACACAAAGCTATCAAACTCTATCCTCTCTACACAGCAGTGGTAGTTCTAAGTATGCATTTACTGACACACAAAGCTGTCAGACTCTATACTTTCTACACAGCAGTGGTAGTTCTAACCACCTGTAAACAGAGTCTATATTCAACTAACTATATTTAGGTATAAAAGTACAGGTAAAGATTAAACTGACCGATAACACAGTCAGGTGACTACAACAAAGTATATCCTAAATTGTCCCCCTATGTATCATAGTATAGAGAGCATATCCCTAAAATTAACAAGAAATTCATGACCACAGATCAATATTCTCTCAATAGTAATCAGTACCTTAGCAGTTTTATGTACCCACAATACATTGACTACATCGTGTCCACCTACAAGATTTAAAATTATAAAGTTTTTTTTACTGATTTAACCGAAAGTTAAAGATTCTTAAGTGTTTAGGCAAATCGATGATTCAGGATTTAAACCGGTGCAGGTCCCAGACTCAAGAAATAAAATCCTGATTTTTTAAAGTTTCTTGTAGTTTACTGAAGACTAGCATTTCAAATTTCTTTTTTAACTAATCTTTTAAAAAGATTAACAAGTTAAGACAAAACAACAAGATATAGTTTACCTTCAATATTGGTTTTATTAGGAGTAAAAGGCAAATATCCAGATTTCAAGAAACCTGGAACAAAAGAATGACAAGGAACTGTAGATGTAATTTAAAGTTTCCTCCCCCTATGCACAGAAAACGATTTCCGTCACTCTATTTTTAGCTAGCAAAATCCTTAATCAGATTAGGAGATATAGGTTTAAAGGGTGCCGATGTAAATTGGACATGCCATTTTACAATTTAATTTTACGTAAAAAATTATTTAGGTGCATTTATCTGTAGATTCTTTTTTTGAAAAAATTGAGATATTTATCCTAAAATAATTGTCAAGCAGGTCTTTAAACTGACAAATGGTGAAACAGAGAATAATATAGAAAAACAACTTTATCCTCATAATACAAAATGTTCTAAGCTGGAAACTCTTGTATTGTGGATATCAAGATGAATGCTTGATCTCGATCTTTTTTTTAATCGGCAGATTAATTTAATCTTTAATCAATACCCATGGAGGGTTAACTGAGATAAAGAGATTAAGCATTGATCCTAAATTAAAAGTTCTCGCACTGGATATTGAGATCTGTTGATCGGGATTAATAATAACCAACATAAAGGTTCCCAGAAAGATAAAAGTTTTGAATGATACATCTTACAGTCTACTGGGTATTCAGGGCAGTTTGTTCTCCTCGCAACCTTACTTACTATCTACTAGTAGTGGGTATTCAGAGCAGTTTGTTCTCCTAGCAACCTTACATACCGTCTACTAGTAGTGGGTATTCAGGGCAGTTTGTTCTCCTACAGGAGATGACCTCATTCTCAATAGTTAGAATATGAACATATAGTTTAAACAATCAATAGTTCAAACGGCAGTAGTTCAAATGCGGATCCACCAGAACAAACTGCCCTGAATACCCAATACTAGTAGATGGTAAGTAGGGTTGCTACAGTTCGATCAAACATCACATTATTTACTCATTTGAACTATTAAAAATTGTTTTTTAATATTTACAAAAAAAAATTAGACCATTTGAACACTTTTTTTTGGACATGTTCATTTGCACTAACGTTCAATTGCTTTACAGGAAAAAAAATTAGTCCGTTCGAACATTTTTTTTGAAAATGTTCATTTACACATAACTAACGTTCAATTGCACTAATATTTACAGAAAAAAATGAGTGCGCTTGAACAAATATTTTTAGTATTCCAGATCAATTTCACTAATGATCATTAGTACTAAAATATTCCTGCAGGCGCGAAAATAAAAAAAAATTACTGGCGGGAAAATAAAATTTTAGTCCAACTGAACACAGAAAACCCGATTTTTGTTTATTTGCACTAATGTTCGATCGTACTAAAAACCGGTTACTGATCAGCTGAATTTAGTTCAAAAGTACGTTAGTTCAATCGGACATTAGTGCTCGATATAGAATCGTGAATCTTGTGAATCGGGCATTGCCATCTTTAGGTAATTTCTTAATATACGATTTCTAATGTCGTCGTGTTTATTTTTTTAATTTCTATGCAATGGTTAATAAGAGTAAAATCGTGCATATTTTTCCTATTTTACTAAAAAGAAAAAAGATATGAAAATGCAAGTATACATAAGATTTAACTCAATGTAATATATAAACTTATAAAACGTCCAATCTTTACACAAAAAGTTGAAAAAGACGATATTGCCGCGCACTTTTATCTCCTTTAAAACATAAGGCCGTATATTTACAAAATTTCTCACTGAAAACCCACGCTTTCGGTTAATTGTTGTGTTTTGAGTGTTGCGGGTTGCCGTAAAACTAGCGAATGGCGCCGATTAAACCCTATTTTCGACTTATTTGTAATTATTGGAATTGTCTAATATGATGCAAATGAGTCCGTAATCGAACTTTTTAAAAGTAAAAAATAAGATTTAACCGATTGCTATAAAAAATGTCTCGCATGAATTTGAAACGAGAAGAATTTCAAAGAAAGCTGATTCAACAATTAAAAAAGTTGGTAATGTGCTGCTTATGAAAAAGGAAATCATTTTCAGAATATTGTGAATAGAAATCAACATGTCAGCCAACGTGGGACCCGCTAACACCAACAATCATGTTGAATCTGAACCTGTGAAACCAAATCAAGTGGCAGGGTATTATATAATATTTAGTTATTGGGTCTGTCCTAGTCAACGATTTTTGGTAATTTCCTAGAAAACGATTTTTGGACCCCCCCCCCC